CAAATTAAAAGAAATGGTAAGTAAATAATTTACTCAATGTTGTGTTTGTGTTAATAGGTATGTTCGCCGGTGTTACTATAAAGCTGTTCGCTATAGTTGCCTTTTCCCGCGAGATAAAAGTGGAACTAACTTGCTCAACTACCCGAGCCACAATAGGCCTGCTGATGGCCGCAGTGGAGGGTATACTGAGATCCACTCACAACAAACCTAACCTCAACTACCCAGCTCAATGCGCTGAAGGTAGCTGTCAGAAGAAAACTGAATTCCTTCTCTTGGCTACAGCGATTCTATTTATACCAAAATTATGGCCTTGGTGACGTCTCATAATTCATGGCGGCAGGAAGTGCGTGGCAGTACATGCCAAACGGTAATTGCAGAAACTTCTAAAAATGAATGTCTGCATGATTCATCACATGGCGGCAGGAAGTGCGCAGTAGAACAAGACTGACGGTAATTTCTGAAACTATAGTAATGAACATGTAGGATTCATTACAATTTTAAATACACCCTGTATGAAAGTACTTTTAAAAAAAGTATTTTTGGACGTCCCTTTATTGTTTTTAGTAAAAACTCTTTGCGATTGAAATCCATTTAAAAATTAATAGCTAAAAATGAGTCTCACCCAAAAAGGGATAATTGACAACGATGATTTTCAGTAACACCCAATAGGTTCACACAAAATTCCACAATGAAAAATCTTCTTTAGAATCCCTCATTACCCTGCTATGCCTTTTACATAATACATTATTTTTTATTGCCTTCGTATATTTATTTTTTATATTATTTTTTTAATTACTCACATCAAAAACGCAACTTTTTTCGGAAAACTTCTTTGGATCCCGTCTAATCATCTTTAACCACAATTTCCTACGTTTTTCGTAACTTGGATAAAAATTTTCCTGGTGTTTTTATTGAAGTATTTTTACACATCGGAATGATACACCAGTAATATGATGATTTTGAGGAGTTGATCATTATAGATATGTAATTACTTCACTTAAAAGTTCACAACAATCACAACACAAAATATAACACTACCTGTTTACATTTAACATTGTGTTTTGTCTGCTTTGTGTTAATTTGAACTATGATAGTTTCTATACTGTGACGTCACTGGATCGATCTGCTTAGCAGGCGGTGTTTGAGCGCGTAATGGATTAATTCAAAGTTTAATGTTGAATAACTTTTGTAAAAGACAAAACAAAAAAAATCCTTACACTATTTTTTGTATTAAGTAGAGATTCCAAAAATGCAGGGGCGTACGGTATTTTGATACAGGGGAAGCAGTTTGTGATATAGGGTGATGGGTAGTGCGAAGCCTCGAGCGAAGTGAGGCAAAATTTTTTTTAAGAAAAGAGGCGTGGCTTCCAGTATAATCATTTTAAAGCAAATGTCGAAAGCCGCAAAGTTATGATATCTAGAAAAAAAGTACACTTGCAGGACTGCCACTCCTCAATAAACATAAAACATAAAAACACCACAAAAATTAGACAACCCCCGATTCCAAAGCCGAAGCTGCACGGGCGAGGTTTACACTTATGAAAAAAACGCAGACGCACAACCATACCCACCGACATTGCCAGTGCCGGTGGCAGGGATCGAACCCGCAGCGAAATAGAGAGTTTGTTCAGTCACATTTGCCATCGTGCACTCTCTAGCCAACTATAAATCGAGCCGGCTAGTTTAGTTAACATGCACATACCTAACTACTTATAATGTAGTTTAATCCGCCTCTCCATTTTTGCGAAGTCGGAAATAACTTCGTCGTAAAAGTTTGAATTTTGGGACATCTCCTTCACAAAGTCCCTTTCTATTGTCAACAGAGACAATTTTGAAAGCCGCTCTTCACTGGTTGAATTTCTTGAAAAAAGTTTTTATTCTTTTTAAGGTCGAAAAACTGCGTTCAACCGAAGCACTAGTTGCAGGTATCGTTAACACTAACCTATACAATTTCAACACTTCAGAGTAGGCCTGATCCAAACTATTTTCTTTTATAAAGATAATCAGTTCGTTGGCGTTATGTTTCTGACTAATATCTTCTGTAGCATAAATAACTGAAAGTTCCAATCGTAACCCAACTATATCAAAAAAATTTCCGTAGTTATCACTCAATGACTGAAGTGCGTTTTGCAGAAACTGTTTATTTTTAAATTCGTTAAAATTACACAAATGTAAAAATTGCATATCATTAAAATTTTTAAATCTATTATTTAGTTGCCCAGTGATATTGTCCAAAATTTCGATAAAAAGTCTTCGATATGAAGTTCTACGATCCACTATAAATTCAGTTCGTATTCTTTTTCTTTGTGACACTAAACTGCCATTACTAGTTTTCTCCTTGAACTTTTCAAATTCATTTCTTTTGTTACAAATTAAATTTTTGAATTCTGCAATTTTCTTTACACAAATCTAACGTCATTTGATTTAGTTTGCAAAATATTGAATAAATGGGAATATTTCGGAGAAAATAATTAACAAAAAATTAAAATCAGTCTCTTTTCAATGAATCTAAGTAACCTCTGGATCCATTCAAAGTCTCAGTGTCTCAATCATTTTTGCTTTGTAAAATATTTTCAAATAAATCAATTAGAGGCTGTCGATATTCAGATACAGTTTGTACTAGCCTCCCATTGTAATTCCATCATGTTGGAGCATCTCTGGGTAGTCTCTTCTGTACTTCCAAATTTAAAGCTCGTGTCCATTTTGATGATTTTGAAAAATAGACAGCCATTCCACTAATACTTGAAAAAAAATACTTTGTACTCTTTAAGTCATGCTGCAGATTGAGCAAGAACTAAATTTAATCGATGCGCAATTCACCAGTCATTACAGCGGCCCCATCATAACTTTGGGCGATAAGTTTAGCACCACACTGTAGATCATCGACTCTGACAAACTATAACATATAAAGCTGCAGCCGTTCTCTGCATTGTTACGTCTAAAAATCCTAAAAAAGCGCTCTAGGACTTTCCCATTTGGACTTATGTATCGTACTACGATTGACAACTGACTAATATTCGTAATATCGGTTGTTTCATCTAACATAATTGCAACAAAAGGAGCTTTTTTATTTCTTGCTTGATCTTTTTTAAAACAATATTGCTTATCGACTGAATCAAATCATTTTGAATATGATTTGATGTACCGCGAAATACCGTGGAGTGTTCCAGATGGTTACTTAAAATTGTATCGTATTTTGCTAATAAAGCAACTAAATTGATGAAATTTCCCCTATTAGCAACGCTCTGAGATTCAGTATGACCTCTAAAACTAAGTTCATTTTCGCCGAGAAAACAAACAATGTCAATAAGTCTTTTTAACACTTCTCGATTTTTTTTACAAGTTCATTATGCTTACGGTCACTTTCTTTCAACTGCTGATCTAATGAATGCTCAATTCGTGATTTTCCAAATGTTTTTTTTTTTTAGAACCGCTTGCAAATGAGTTTCACACTTACCATGCCTCTTTGTCACTTTGTGAATGTTGTTTAAATCTGAAAAGCCATTTTTATTCCAAACACCTTTTTCATTTGTGAAAAGTACACATGGACAACAAAACAATTTACACAAATTTTCACAACCCGTTAACCACTGATTAGCACTGTACATTTCAATATTAAAGTACCTATAGCATGATGTAACTTTCGTTTTTAAAAGTTTTAAATCAGGTGTTGGTCTCCCGTTTCTAATAATATCCAGTTTATCTTGAAACGAATATGTTGAAAATCCCTTTTTCAACAAATTGCATACCACACAAACGCAAATAATATTTTCCACAGTGCTAGGACCAGCTTCCATATTGAATAAGCAATTCTAAAACTGCTTATACGCGCACTAACGTTCAACGTTTTAAAAATCACTTGTCGCCACACCACAGGTTTAGAAACACCAAAAAAGTTTTTACAAATATAGCACAAAAGCTGAGAATAATACTAGGAAGATTAATATTAAGTATAATATTAAAATCTATAAAACAAGACGCATTACGATATACGGCTCACATATCAAGATTATGAAGTGGGGATGGGATGCATTTCAAGAAGTTGCTTATATCAGTTATATCGAAGTCGCGCGAGTTCGTGTTGGCTAGATTAATCGAGTGCGTCATCGTTACGGTTTTAGCGTGCAACATTATCTCACCTGTTGAAATGTCTATTGAAATTGGGTAAAAGTAAATTTTAATGATTAATATATGTGATAAATAATAATTAGGTTCTAATTATGTGTTTGTTTTTTAATAATCCCAAGGGAAGCACTGCTTCCCTTGCTTCCATGGACCGACCGCCCCTGCAAAAATGCCAAAATTATACTTTGTGCATGGGGCATATTAACACAATTACCATTACTGAAATGACTTGACCTCATGTGTTCAGGGAGCAAACTTTTCAAGAACGTTGGCAGTTTAATGTTTATTGTGCCATAAGAAACGATACAATGGTGGTATTACAATTTTATGATGAAAATTTAAACAATAAGTTAAAAAGATTTCTTCTTCTGCCAACATGTAGTTGAAATTGTTTTCTTTTATAGAAAGGTATCTAAATATTCTACAAAATTTGGAAAATTACTATTTAGAAAATTTGCCTTATGCTGAACATTGAATTTTTTTATTAGCAAGATGATGCCTCTGCACATAACGCATAATTGATCAATCAGTTTTTACAAGATATATTTTACGATTAATATATTCCTGCCTTGACAAAGCCAGAGTTTCTAAAATTATGCAACATGCATTTTATCATGTCTGGTGACATTTTCTGTTTCGAGTTAACAAATGTGTTACATGTTCTTGATATTACTTTATCACATTCTCCATAAATAATGAACACATTTAAAATGTCTTCGTGGATATAATTTAAACACCACAGGTAATAGAACTCCCTGTCTCCCTGAAGGTACCTCAAGGCACCTTGTGCAGGAGAGGGCTACACATTTAGAGACAATGAACGCACACCCAATGCCCGAGTATGCTAGGATTAATTCTTGGTTTAGAAAAAATCCTAGCTCCTCAACCGAGGATCAAACCCGGGACTCTAGGGTAAGAGGCGAGTGTCTTTACCACTTGACTACAAAGCTACAAAAACGTGCTGGCATTTTTTTTAAAAGAACGATTGACACTGCCGATTGTTTCTAATCATGGCTAAGTAGATAGCAATTTTTACGAAAAATTCTTGAAAATCCAAGAAAATCGTAAATATTTCAAAAAGTTGTAACTTCAACCTCTAAAATGCCTATACTAGAAAAAAGAAAATTTATTCTACATAACGATGTAAAAAATATAAGTTGTTCCAATTGAACTAAAAAAGTTTTCGTGGCTTGAGCAATTACAAATATTAAATGCGAGATTCTTGGCCCTCCGGTTAAAATTTATTTGCAATTTCTGAGGATACAGCAAATTATATAAATGACAACTGGTCAATTAATTATATAAACTTTTGGTCATGATAAAAATAAATTCATGATCTACTAGTCGAAGCAATTTCAAATTTCTCAAATTATATTTTCGATTTCCCTTGAAAATAATCCAAAATGTTAGAGTTTTCATCTCTTATTGGCCTTTGTGCCATTATTGAACTAAAACTCATTCATTGGTATTTTTTCAGTTTACGCTTGCCCATGTCCTCCAAGTTAATTTACAGATTATAGCTAGCTTTCCTATGATACAAATATCAGTGCAAATAACTTGATAATACAAGGCAAAGGATAAAATTCCCCCTCTAAGGCTATATCGCAGCTTTCCACACACCAACAATTGTCGAATTAGAAACCCTGGGCAAAATAAAACGAACTATATATTGTTATAGGTATAACGTCAACTGTCAACCCTATTACAGATGGAGTTGTTTTTGAATTTGAATTCAGATAGTCAAAAGCAGTGACAGGAGAGATTTCACTATCTGTGATTTTTTTCACTGATATCAGAAAATCACGGATCACAACTGTTACAAAATTTGCACCAGTAAGAATTGTTCTTGTTCTGACTATATTCTATGCTTACCTTGTAAGTCTTATGAAACTAAAGAATTATTATTATTATTATTAGGGAGAGAGAGAATAGTCTTTATTGGATAAGTACCAAAAGGCCAGCGACCGAAGTCTTTCAGCCTGTCTTACAGATTTAATTATTACAACGTATTAATTTAAGATAATATAACATTTCTGTAGAGTTGAACATGTACAAAAAAAATTAAAATCACATAAATGCACAACAATTAGGTATGTCATTGTTCTATTGTTCGTTGTCAGCAGTAATTACTTCCAGCAGTGTTTTTTCTGGATTTCTTCTTCTTCGGGTAACATCTTCTCGTAACTGGAGTGTAAAGTGTTGTATTAGGGTAGGGAAATTTTGAGACTGTGTATATTTCTTGGTGAGCTCCTTAAAGCGAGTGAGTATGGGTTGAATACCAGTTTTTTCGTAGAGTGAGTTATTGGATATGTTATGAAGAGGGTTATTTGGATGACGAAGTTTTGTTATTTTACGTAGACTACTTCTTTCTGCAATTTCTATATTATTCAATGCTGGTCTTCTGCAAGTGTTAAAAAGGATGGAGCCGTATTCTATGATAGGTCGACATATCATTTTGTAAATTTTACTTGCTGTTATGATGTTAATGCCTTGATTGTTATAGGTTAGGGATCTAAAATGTTTCGCTCTAGTTATCATCCTTTTCTTCATTTCTTTAGTATGGCTGTTGAAGTTTAATTTTTGATCCAATATGATGCCAAGGTATTTCACTGTGACTGTTGGTGTCAATCTATCGTTAAATATTTGTAGAGTTGGAGAGGTATCTGAGATGTTGTGATTAAATATCATTAGTTGTGACTTGTTGGGATTTATTTTTAATCGCCACTTATTACACCACTGAATCGTTTCATTTGTTGAAATCTGCAGGGTATTTATTGTTTGCTCAATGGTTTTCCCGTGTGCTACCCAGGCTATATCGTCTGCAAACTGAAGTAAGTAAGACTCTAAGTTCTGTGCTTGTTGGTAGTTATTTAGTATATCATAACAGAAGATGTTGAATAATATTGGTGACAATGGAGAACCCTGTGGAACCCCTTGTTCGTTTTCATATGGACTGGAAAATGATGTATTTATTTTGATTTTTGTTTTCCTACCCTCTAAGAAATCTTTAAGAAACCAAAGAATATAGTTGGGACAATTTGCGTGATGCAGCTTAAATAGCAATCCTTTGTGCCAAACAGAGTCAAATGCTTTGGTTAAGTCTATGTAAATTGCTGCCGATTTATTTCCAATTATGCTGTTAGCTTGTATGTTTGACGTCATTATGATAAGTGGATGGATTGTAGATGAGTTTTGTCGAAAACCAAATATTATTATTATTATTACCAAATCCGTGACGTGATCACAGTTTAGCTCGGAGAGATTACGATCCCGGAACAGAATCATTCAAAAGTGAATAAATTACTTAAATGTGATGTGATTTACTGTTTACTTTTGTTGTACAGACAGATATAGCACTGCAGTTGGGTTCGTTTTCGCATAACATCGAAAAACATAACAAACTAGTGGATGCCTAGTAAGCAAGTCACCTAGGCGACTTCGTGCCTTATGTTTTCTTCACTTGAACGTGAATTCAAAATACTTATTTACTTTTATCTATGATTCTTATTCTCTAAACCCTGACCATGACGTGATAACATAACATCATTTGTCTTTCTAGCTGTGATAAAACTTTTAGGAGTTAGAAATTTTATTTGTAATTTGTTTCGGATTAAGATGGGAGACAACTGTCGAAGCTCTAGATGTGGTTCAAACTCCACAATAAACTGTAGGGCCTCATCTCTCTTTACTTAACACAAAGTCCTAAGATTTTCTGGGAGTTACTTCTGTGACTTGAGATGGGGTTAAGAAAACATTTTTAATGAAGAGGTGCATAATGATAAATTAATGATTTTATGCATAATTGCTAAACCGTGAAAAACGTCACAGTTTAAAATCACTGATATAAAAAAATCACAGTAACAAATCACGTTGATAGTGAAAAATCATGTCAACACCCATCACTAGTTAGGTAATTTTCAGATTACAAAAAACCTGCTGCGATAAAAACCTTCTTGTGTCAATATAGTTCATTTGGGTAATCTGATTAGACCAAAATTCAAAATTTGAACTAAATGGTACAATAACAAAAAATACAATGGTGTTTACCCTTATATTACTATTCGTTAAATAAATGTGGAATGTTATTGCTGCGAACCTAATTCAACAGAATTTATTCAAATGGAATCATTTTCTGAAATATCTAATAGATGATCATTAGCTTTGTTAAATTAGCTTTGCTAAATAAAGAGATTAATATTATTATTATATGGCTTTACCTCCTTAAAGTTGTACTGTATCTACTGAAAAATATATTTATCATAAAAGGAAGTAACACAATTACGGATCCAACATTTCTCCAAACGGTTTTCAAATTTTAATATCCTACCTGCTTTACTAGTCCAGAAAAAAAACATTTTGTAAACAAACTAGCATCCTGTAGTGATAAAAAAAATACAAAAGTATAAAACTTGTGTAAAAACCTTTCATAAAGGCTAAACTCTCTATTAATGTTAAAAAAATGACCAACGTACACCAAAAGTATGTTTTTTAAAATTACAAATTCCAATACTGCATAATGCGCTCATCTTTAATCAGCGAAGCACCACATGGTTTTTCAAATTGCAAAACAATTAGTTTACTGAATTTTTTAACTTCTTTGTCAAAGATGTCATCACCTGTGTTATCTAAAATTTTACTAAGGTCCCACTCTACACTCGGCAAGGGAGTGTTTATGAACCTAGCTGCAGAGGCAACGCTTTGGAGGACATGATGTTGTAACGTTTGGAGTTCCCAAAGGGAACTGCTGATAGCATTAGATTTTAATGGATCTCTCTCTTCCATGATATAGGGGTCAGTGCTGGCTGTGCCACAATCTGGATTGTTCAGAAGGCATTTCAAACCAGGATGCCTAAAAAAAAAAGTATTGTTTTGTAAAATAGCTCACGACAAGCTGACACTCCAGTAAAATTATTATCAATAGAAGGCCGAATTTACCTATAAAATGACCTCACAGTTGGGAAACATCAATTGAATTTTAAAATAACTGCGACATTTTAAGTCGTTATGCAGGTTGCAGGTGAAGCAACAGTTGCTATGGCAATGAAAGCATTTGCTCACTACTCGATTCATTTTTGTTATGCAGACCTCAGATCTCAGGTTGTCATTCCAGTGTATAAAATAAAACGAACACTTAAAAAAACTGTAATTTTGTTACTTGCTTGTATTTATTTGTAGAGCAAACATATATCATATAAGTGTGAAAGTTATTTACTTATAACTCCTAAATAACATTCTGCTTCACACACATTTTCAAGACACCTATTTTAGTAGGTTGTTTGTAAACAAACATATTATGTAATGAAAGCACCTTACTAAAAGAAAAGGTTGAGATATTTTATCTGCACTCCACCGTAGCGATGTCATGTGCCTTATTTAGACTGAACACGCCACAATGTCGCAGTATTCTTTACACTTTTGACAGAAATGTATGTGTTCATTAAAAATGTCGCGACTCTCGTGGATTAAAGGTTATCTGGAAACACAATTTAACGACGCAGAACTTCTATCTGAAATGAAAGTATGTCCCAGCTAAGATGTCACTTGCGACAAATTCATACATCAAAAATAAATACAATTACAAGGTAACATATTGTATTACTGTGCATGAAAATGGTGATACTATTCCTATCACCTATCCGATCCTGGTTTTGACGTCATGACACATGATAACCTCGGATCTGGGGTCTGGTTATGAGGCTTAAGATAGTGTGCATCCACGTATCTTTTTGTTTTTCAAAATTACTTCTAAATGAATCAGGCATAGTGCGACCAAGGAAAAGTTTGGTCAAAAAATTGGTGGAAAGGTTCGTTAGCACAATGGAACAGTTGGAAATGTTGGAAAAGTTTAATTTTCACTTGGCGTTGAGTATTTATGTCATTTATCGTTTTTTAAAAATAATTTTAGGCTCCAAATGTTATTGGCATCTGTGATAAGCGTGGTGTAATTTAC